TGGAATAGATATTGGTGCATTGGCTGTATTTATTTTCCTGGTGGTCTTTAAATTAGGCCTCTTCACTGTGATGATTGGAATAAAGGTCCTCTTGAGTTCAAGGAATTTGAAAATGAGGAGACGATTAGTTTCACCTATTAACTTCAATTCTTTCTTTTTCTTCTTTTTCTTCTTTTCCTCTTCCTCCTTTCCCTTCTCCATAATAACAGGAAAATTCAAAAGAGGGTAGGATTTTGGGGAAAATATGATTAGTTCTATTTTTATGTGTTGAGTTTGATATGTCTGCGAGACATTTAGCTCAAGAAGTTCAAAAGACAATTTCATTAGATTGTAAGCTCCTTGAGGGCAGGGACTGTCTTTTTACCTTTTTTGTATCTCCAGTTCTTGGAAAATAGAAGGTGTTTAATAAATGTTTATCAACTGACTGAATTACAGTTAATGATATCTGGAGTTCAGGAGTGAGGATTAGGGATGAATATATAATTTTTGGAATCAACGGTAGGAAGGGGCAAGGTTGAGAAGATATTTAAGTGTCAAATAGAAGAGTTTATATTAGATCCTAGGGCCACTGAATTTATTGGTTATGGGAGTGATGTCAGACCTGTGCTTTAGGAAAATTGCTTTGGTGGCTATTTGGAGAGGAGTGGATTGAAGTAGGTTGAACAAATGGGAGACTTATGTTATAAGAGAGAGGTGATATGGGTTTAAACCAGGGTGGTTCCTCTGTGAATAGAGAGGAGGACATAGATGTGAGAGATATCAAGAGGAAAGAGGTTTATTTACTGAAATATGTGGGATAAGTGGATACAACTGAGATCATGAACCTGGATGCTTGGAAGTTTGGTGATGCTTTCAACAGTAATAAGAATTTTCACAAGAATTTCATAATTTTCATAATAAGAATTAAGAGGGTGGTTCTGGGGAAAAAAATAATGGGTTTGGACATGTTTAGTTTGAGATGTCTATAGGATACCAGTTTAGCAATGTCCAATAGGCAGTTAAGGATGTGGGACTAGAGCTCAGAAGAGATGCTAGGGCTAGATATTGATTTCTATATCTATCTCTAGGAATTGTGTATGAAGGTATGATAATTAAACCCATGGCAGCTTATGAGGCCACTAAGTGAAAAAGTTAGGTACAAAAGAGTTCCTAGGAAAGAGCCTTGTGTTATACCTACAGTTAATGGTCAGGATATTGATGATGGATTAGCAAAGGAGACTAAGAAAAAATAGTTAGAGAGTTAAGAGGGGGACAATAGGAGAGCAGTATAGAAAGAACTCAGAGAAGATAGAGGAGTGATGAAGAGAGGGTCATCAGCAGCATTGATTGCTGCAGAGAGATCTAAGAGGATAAAGACTGAGAAAAAGCCATTAAATTTAGAAATTAAGACACCAATGGTCACTTTGGAGAAAGCAGTTTCATTTGAGGGATGAGATCAGAAACCAAATTGCAGAGAGTGAAAAAGAGAACAAGAGGAGTGGTGGCACTCCATAGAGATGTCTTTTTCAAAAAGTTTAGCTAAGAAGAGAGATCCAGTATCCAGGGAGGAAGGGGTGTGTGTGTGTGTGTGTGTGTGTGTGTATGTGTGTGTGCATGCACACGTGCGCACACATGTTTTAAGATGGGGAGACATAGGCATGTTTATAGTTGATAAGATGTAATTCGGGGGGGGAGAGAGAGAGAGAGAGAGAGAGAGAGAGAGAGAGAGAGAGAGAGAGAGAGAGAGAAACAGTTGGGGTTCATCCACCTGAGAACATGAGAGGAAATGGGATAAAGGAAATACAGCAGGGTGTTGGCCTTGGCAAGGAGAAGGGCCACTTCTTTATCAGAGACTAAAAAAAGGAAGATATAATAGGGCATGATGTCAAGAGGTTGTGATGTGGAGAGGAGGAGAAAAGAAGGAACTCTCAGAAAATGCTCTCTTACTCTCTCTCTCTCTCTCTGTCTCTCTCTCTCTCTGTCTCTCTCTCTCTCTTTCTCTCTCTCTCTCTCTTACTCTCTCTCTCTCTCTCTCTCTCTCTCTCTCTCTCTCTCTTTCTCTCTCTCTTTCTCTCTCTCTCTCTCTCTGTCCCTCTCCCTTTCTCCATCCCTCCCTCCAAGGAGAAGCAAGGTGTTCAGCTGAGAAGTTAGAGGAATGGGTACTGTGAGAAGATTGAGGAGAGAAGAGAAGGTTTGGAATAGTCATTGTGTACAGTAGGATACAGAATAAATTAGGGAATAGTAACAGGATTGTCTTGTTACACTGAAGGCCTACTTTGAGAACAGATGGCATAAATCTGCAGCAGACCCAGTCAGCAAAGTTGCATGACTTCCTCCAGTCCTGTTCAGTAAGCAGCATGTGAGCAGAAATAAAAGATACAAATGGTTGGAGTATTCTAGGATTGGAGTTTGGCAAGGCATAAGGGGCAATAGAAGTAGTGAACAAGGATTTTTGAGAGTAAAAGGTAGTATGGATTCAACTAATTTGTAAAAGATTGATATTGGAGAGTATAATCGGAGCAAGGATGATGCCATGATGACATACTGAGGGATGGTGGGGTTGCATATAATGACAGCTGATGGGGTTGAAGGTCACTGTGAGGTTGAAGAATGGGCTTGGGAGGAGAAAGGCATCCACAGTGTTGGAATGGTAGAAGGTTGTAATCAGATAAAGGAATTACAGAGTTCTTGATAATAAAAGTGGAAAGGAGACATAACTTCCAGGAATAAGAAAGTGATTGTCCTGTTATATCTGCTCTGGTCAAAACATGTCTAGAGTATTATATCCAATATAGTTATATACTTCAAATTCTTCGTCACTGGCAACCTGGTCAGACAGTGCTTGTGGATCCTGAGCTATAACCCTGAAAAAGACCTGAGATCAAATCCTGCCTCAGACACTTAACTAGATGTATGACCCTGGACAGTACACTTCATTTCTCTTGGCCTTGAGAGGGACTTTATAACTCCTAAGTTCCCTTCTAGTTCTAACTCCATAATCCTATGATCATATGAATTATGAGGAAAAATGAAATGACACTGACCTCCTCTTTGGTGACTCTGTTCTATGAAAGGTTGTTTTTGGCACTTCAAGGTTTTGCTACTTATTACTATCTAAAGAATATTGAGACCTCCATGCTGTGCCTATTTACATATGTACATGCTTATGTTCCAAAATAGTAAATATGATTCAAAAGATAAAACTCAACTTTATCATTATTTTTCTTTTATTTGTGAAGTAAATATTTTAAGTAGATTTTTTTTATTTATTTACATTTTTTAATTAAAAGAAAATTACAGATAAAAGATGCTATACCACTGTGAAAGGAAAATATTGCAATGTAATTAAAAAGACTCCTCAAAGTATAATTAGATTTGAAATTTAATTATGACTAGAATACTTCATCCTTATGCACACTGACACCTTGTTGATACATAACCTTTAATGTAATTTTATTGCATTTACACTAAGATCTTAATCTGTGGGCTAAATATAATCATCAGATTTCGAAGTATTAGAATTTAGCACAGAATATAATGTGTTATTTTATGGGAAAAATATCGAGTTCAAGTTCACATTTCAATTATAGCTGGATATCATTGATGCTTCTAGCCATAAAACACGTCCATAGACCTTTCCAGCTGAGACAAGTTAGTCCAGAAGTAAATGACTCAAAGGTGGAAAGCCTTCCTTTGTTTACACCTGATAGAACAACTGTCTTAAAAAAAAAAAAGGAAGACTCTAGGAATTAATGGAAATATATTATCTAGAAAGGATGGAATGTCAGACTTCATTTATTTGTAAATTTTTTGGTTAATTAATCAATTACAACAACCTGACTGAAAAATCTTCAATAGTCAGTCAGCCCTGGTTAAATATATGCTTTATTATTAATATTATGGCAGCACTTGATACTTAGAAAACAATAACTTTGACAAAGAGTGATTTAGCTACTAATAAGGTATGCCAGGAGCAATACTTTCAAAGAATACCATCTTGAATATAAAGAGGCAAGTATAAGAGTCAGGAATAATAGCCAATTATAGACCAGCATGGGAAGGATCTTTGATTTTGTCAGCTTGGGTGACTCTTGGAGGGTACTAGAACTCTGAATAATCTAGTAGACAAGTCCCAGGAAGTCATCTGAGGCACATATATAACACTGTTTCTCATGACCCTTAAAAATAGCCCTGTGAAGTAGGTATTAAATGGATTATTATGCCTGTTCTATATATTATAAAGCTGAGCATAAGAGAAGTAAAGGGATTTGCCCATGTGCCATGGTCACTTACTGTGATTGTGGTTTGTCATTTGTTCTCATGGTCAAAGAGAACCATGACATCAGGGAGATGATGACATGACTTACAGTTGACTTTGATTTGAGTGAGGGAGGGCTGTGCAAAGTCACTAATATAATGGGGACCAATTTAGAGATGCACAGGGTACTCTGTTTATTGTCAACCTATCAACCTATGTGGGGGTCTTGGTGAACCTACTTCAAGAAATAACTGATAATAATAAACAAAATAAAATATCTTTACACAGGGGTGTGCTGGAACCAGCCCAAATCAGCTTAAAAGAACTGTTGAATTTTCAATGTGAGCATTTATGCCTCACAAATCAGCAAGTGCTACAAATGGGGGGCTTTATTTATTGTTTTATTGATTGCCCACATTTAAGAAAGTGAGGGAGAGAGTGTTGGTAAACAAAATTGTGCACAAATATTTTGAGGGGGAGAGTTGATTGTTAAACATTTAACAGGACATATGCAGGCATTCTGTGACTATTTTCTGTCCACTTATTGCATGTTGAAGAAAACCTTTTAATTGGCTGCTGAGCTAGAACTGAGCTTGCGTGAAAAAGGCTGTAATGGAGAAACTTAACGTCTTTCTCTTTTCTTAGTATGGAACTCAACAAGAATTGCTGTAAATCCCTAATAGGGAAAGGGTGAGTGCCAATGGCTTATTCTTCCCTGGGCCTCTTTCTTCTTTCCTATTTGATACCTTCTTTCTGATCTTAGGTGAATGAGTATTGAAGATGGAATTGAGCAGGCCACGACTTTGTGAGCTTTCAAAGGTCAGAAGAACCACCAATGATTTTAAGGAACAAGCCCTGGGGAACAACCTTCCTGACCAATCCCAATAGTGGATTAATCTGGGAGCCAAGATGCCATGTCCAGCAAATTATGCTATACTTGGAAGTGTAATCAGTGATAGAAGGAATGTTTGCATCATGCACAGTAAATATGAATGAATTCTCCCCAGAGACTGAGATGGTAAAAGGGAGAATATGCCTCTAGTTTGGGGGCAAAAGATTTGTTCTTGCTATGTCTTATTAGCAAATAGCCTTTGTAAAAGGTTCTTTCTCTTATTGTTCAGTCGTTTTAGTCGTGTCCAACAACTCTTTGTGATGCTATTTAGAGTTTTTTTTGGTAAAGATACTAGAGTGGTTTGACAATTCCTTCTCCAGCCCATTTTACAGATGAGAAAACTGAGGCAAACAGGGTTAGGTGACTTGCCCAGGGTCACACAGCTAGTAAGTTTCTGAAGCCAAATTTGAACTCAGGTCTTCCAGACTCCAGTCTCAGCACTCTATCCATTGCATCATCCCGATTTGTAAAGGCTAATTGATGTTAATTGCTTATATGATGTTAAGTAGATATCAACAGGTTTTAATGATGCTGAGGACGTACTAACTGGCACTGGCAGATGATACTGGGGCAGAAATCTCTGGTGATTGACATTGAGGGAAATACAGGGGATGGAAGCTCAATCCAACAATGTTCATAAAACCCCACAGCTCCTCAGGGGTACCACTGGAACACTAGAGGGGAGATTGAGCAATAGCCTTGCTCTGGGAACCTGACCCTCTAGCATGATTGTGGGTGGGTGAATAGCTTGAGAATTTCACTATGCCAGTAAGTGTTAGGGGCATGAGTTGAATGTATATTTCCTTGCCTCCATATCTAGCGCTGTATCCTTTGTGCAACACTACTCTGCTAGAATGTTAGAGCTTAAAGGACCTTACAGACTATCTAGTCCAATCACAGTACTATTAATCTAGTAATGGGGCGTAATCTGAGGCAGAGGAGCACTGCCACTCACCACAAAAGAATAGAGTACCTGTTCAATAGCCTTCTAAAGTGGGGGGGGGGAAGGGAGGAGCATTCATATAGCATTTACTATGTGTCAGGTACTGTGCCAAGTGCTTTTATGAATATTATCTCATTTGATCCTCACAACAACCCTGCAAGAGAGGTGCTATTATTATCCCTATTTTATAGTTGAGGAAAATGAGGCAAGAAGGGTTAAGTGATTTGCCCAAGGTCACATGGCTCTTAAGTGTCTGAGGCCACATTTAAACTCAGGTCTTACTGACAATTGGAGAAAGGGGGAAAGATTTGATATTGCCTCCCCTGTATGGGCTCACAGTGAGAGAGGGAGATTTTGGCTCCTAGGCAGCACAACACTAAGTAGGTTTCAGTACTATATGTTTCTATATCAATGCAGATCTTGGGTCTAAATGCATGTGGAAGCCTTATGACTTCTTAGCTACCTTGATACAGAAAATCCTGAGCCAAGATAGGGACTGGTCATAGGTTAGAGATATTGTCATTGGTTCTATGACTGATATTCTTGGTTTTTCTCCTATTCATTGTTGTCATTTTTCATCAAAAGACCTCCTAAGAGCTGCCCCTGATATGGTAAACTTTTTAAAGATGATTTTTTATATTGCTTGACATCCTTATCTTTTTATTTATTTGTATTTATCTCCTATTCTAGCACTGCTCTTGTAGAAATGACAGATGTTTTCCCAGGGTCAGAGCTGTTTTAAGGATATGCAAGTGTGGAAAGTCTCTCGGAAAAATGTTGGGATATTGTCATCAATGAGTGAGATGTGGTAGGAACAATATCCATTTTAAAAAGGCTAGAATGATTTCCCTTTATGGGGGCCAGGAGGAAGTGGGTCAGTAGACCATTATTGCTCTTTGGTTGGTCTGGAAGATTAGGAGAATAAAAACGGAGCCTGTAGTGTTGAAGTTTAGGGGTACTGGGACCCCAAAATATCGAGAGCAAGAGATGCAGGTCCTGCCCAAATGAATTCGACCCAAGTCGTCTTTCAGCCAAAGACAAAGTTTATTAAAGAGCCACCATGTTGGCCAGACTTAAGGAATCTAAACATTTGTGATGCTTGCATTGACAGGCTGGTTAGAGTAAGTCTTAGCCACGGGATAGATTTTAAAGAATCTGAGCACCTTAATGGAGGTCAAATGGACCTTATATACAGGAAGACTGTGGCCAGGATCTAGGAGTGGCCAAGTAGTTTGGGGTGGCTAGAGGAAGGGTCTGGGAGAAGGGGATCTAGGGAACATCTTGATGGGAGTGACTGGGAGGTAGAATGGGGTCTAGATTGGATCAAGAGTGGGAAGTGGCCAAGTGTCATTGGGGAGATAAAAGACAATGGAGGGCTAGGCTGGGTTAAGGGTAACAGAGAATTGGGAGATTGGGTTTCCGGTGATAAAGAAAGGCCAGTTAATAGGATTATAGCCTCAGGCGAACTAGAGACTTCCTTGACCAAGTAAGAGAGTTCAAGAAGAAGCCAAGATGGGGTTTTCTGGGGCCCATAGACAAATGGTACTCAAATTCTTTTTGGGGTGAGAGGCAAAGGTCTCATGAGGCTGTGGCCCATATCTCATCAATGGGGAATAGGTGTTCCTGAGATCTGATGGCCCGTGGAATGTATTTTAGGTACAGAGTTGCTTCTGGGTCAAATGCAGAGGCAGAGAATGCAACATATAGTTTTAGTAATTATCTTTAAAATTTTTAAATTATAAGTAAAGTTATTTTTGTACTAGTATGTGGTCTGCAAGTATTTTATTTAATTCTAAAGCATTGGACCAATTTGAGTCAGGCGTATTTTCTAAAAAAGGAATGGAGGCTTTCAAGGTAAGGGCAAAAGGTGGTGGGAATGGGCCTCATGACTTGGAACATGCAGCGGCTCTCATGACTTATAGTGCTTCCAATAGACATTGCTTCTTTAAATAACTGATATATCTAAAAATGTCATAGACTAAATGATAAAGAATGGAATAAGAGCTGAAATGGCAATAACATAGCAGTGTGATAGTGGGGGGAGCTCAGACCTGTTACTTCATAAGTTTTATCCTCATGAGGGTTATAGAAAGAATAAAGAAGGAAAAGTAAGGCTATGTAACCCATAAATTAAAAATGAAATGTAAAATATATAAGAAGGGAAGAGAAATAAAATGGATGATAAACAAAGGAAAACTCCTTAGAAAAAAGGAAGGCATAAAAGAAAGTTCACTGTAGTAAGAGATTGAAAGGGAAGAAAGAAGGGAAGATTTTTGACCACTTGTTTAACTTGGAAAAGAGAGGAGATAAATAAAGTACAGAAATATATGAATAACAAACAAACAAAAAACAAGCACATAAGAAGAAACATAAATTAATAATTTAAGTAAATTCAAATAATTTAGGATAGAGAAGATAAATTGGGAACCAGAAAACAGGTGGAAGTGAGATTGGTAATCAGGGTAAGCAAAACTAATCTAGGACAAAATACTGAATTAAAAAGAGAATGGATAAAAATCAGCAAAAATAAATAAAAACCAAAAACATAAGTCTAAATATCCAAAATTTAAATTTGACTGGACTTCATGATCCACGAAAAAAACAGAGAGTACCAGAATGGATGAGGAAACAAAATCTAATAATTTGTTGTATGCAAGAAAAAAATCTAAAAATAAAGACACATGCAGAATGAAAATGAGAGGCCTGAGCTAATTTTATTATGCATCAAGTGATTGCAAGAAAGCAAAAATTGTAATTATGCCATCAAAGTAAAAATAAAAATTCATAATATTAAGAGTGAAAAATAGTGAAACTACATTTTGCTTAAAAAGGGTAATAGGCAATAATGTAATATCAATTCTAAACATATCTGTGCAACATGGCATGGCATCTAAATTAATAAAGAAAAAGTTAACTGAATTATGAAGAGATATATATAGTAACAATGATTTTATGAGACTTTAATATTTCTCTCAGAACTTGGAAAATAAAGAAAAAGGAAAATATAGAACTAAAAAAAGCTATTAAGGAATTTACAGCTAAAAGGCTTACTTTACCTCACCTTACTCCTCCTCACTCACCCCCTCAACCTTATCACTGTGAAAGTCAGTGAAAATAAGTGGAAATTACTCTCATGAGTACTCTTAGTTGTCTCTGCCCCTCTGATCAGAGGGCTAAAGAAAGGAGGAAAACAGTCCTACAAAATCTCCCTTTTTCAAGAGAGAAGAGAAACAGCCAACTCTTCATTTCCTACCAGCCATATTGCTTAATTTTTGATTCCACTATTATCATGCCCTCTCACCAGGTACCTCATTCCCCCACTTTTCAGTTTCCTTTTATGTGTTATTTTCCCCCATTAGATTGTAAGCTCCCTGAGGGCAGAAACTTTCTTTCTTTTTTCCTATTTGTATCTCCAGTGCTTGAATCACAATAGTCTTTATCAAAGCCTGATTTTTCAGAGCTGTATTTCAAGAAATCGTAAATGAACAGTGCCTGGCAAATAGTCATGTTTATTGTATTGTATTGAATATACATATTTCTCAGCACTACATGGTATTTTTAGAAAAACAGGCCACATGCTATCTAGTATATATAATGCAATAAAGTTAGTCGTTAGTACAGGGTACGCAAATAAAATATGAAGACCTAAATAGAGATATCATGATGATTTCCAGAATAATGAGCAGGTGAAAGAAAAAGTCTCAGAAAAAAAATTAATAACTGAAAGGGAATGATTGCAATGAGGCAACATAATAAATGAAATGCCTCAATTAATGCAGTCCTCAGAAGAAAAATTATACGTCTGAAAACATAGTAACAAAATAGAAAAATGATTAACATAATTGAATATGTAATATTAAAAATTCATAAAACTAACAAATATACTCAAAAGAAGCACTGAAGAAGAAATCTTCAAAATTAGAGGAGAAAAATGTAAAATGGAAAATAAAAAACTCACAGAAATTATAATTAAAAACCAAAAGTTGGTTCTTTGAAAAGAAAAAAAGATTAATATTTAGTTATCCTGGGAAAGGATAAGAAGTGGGAAAAAATAAAATTGCCAAAACAAAAAAAATGGACAAGTTGAAATTACAAGTAGTGAAGAAATAAAATTAATTATTAAAATCTAATAGCCACAATTACCGGCTAG